TACCTCCTATACCTCCTATATCTCCTATATCTCCTATACCTCCTATACCTCCTATACCTCCTATACCTCCTATACCTCCTATACCTTCTATACCTCCTATACCTCCTATACCTCCTATATCTCCTATACCTCCTATACCTCCTATACCTCCTATACCTCCTATACCTCCTATACCTCCTATACCTCCTATGTCTCCTATACCTCCTATACCTCCTATACCTATCTATCTCTATACATCTTACCCTAGGACATAATCGAGTTTCCGGGGATACTCTCCGAAGACATGCAATCCATCAAAAATTTCAAATCTCCTCGTACTTGTGCTCTGCTCTTTTCCAGTAGCTCCTCGAGTGCCTTTCGACCTGAGGAGCTCATCTTCCGGTACCTTGTTGAAATTGCTCTAACTGTAATTGTCCATTTAGATTTTCTTGGCATAGTTCTGGAGTGGGTTGCCATTTCCTTCTCCAGTGGATCGCGTTTAGTCCGATCCCGCGGCGGTGACCTTTCCGTCATGGATGACCCTTCTGGGAGTATGTTCTTCCTACGGTATAGTTCGCAACATTCTTGGAATACACAAGCCCCTTCACCGCGGCAAGGTAACGATCGATGAAGGGATTCGAACTTTAATAAGATTCTTTTACAATTTTCGAAATATGTGTGGCAGGTTTCCTGTTGTGCACACAAAATCTTTTCTTTTGCACATTATCTGTATGGTTTTGGTACCTGTCGATATATGAAACTCTAGAAGTTTCGTACGAAATCTATATCTTGTTAGTTTAGAAAAGTTTTTCATAGAATGTATAAGTGGTGTTGTTGGTTACTCTGCACAACAATGTCTAACGATTTGCTTGCATGAAAACTTGTTGTCAACATTTGCTGATTCATCGTCACTTCACCTGAATATTGACTTTACGTTCTTTATCTTGGAAGCTTGTGGGTGTGGGTGTGGGTGCGGGTGTGGGTTCTGTTGAAGAGAAGACCCACAACCGCACCAACACCCATACCTACCCACACCCACACACCCACACCCAAATAATGTTATCGTGGACTTCGTAAAATATTTGTTTTTTGAATTTGAAACATACGTTTTCTTGTATAAGTTGACAAGCTCTCTTCAATTATGACGAAAAAAGAAAAAAATTCTGCTAAAATTTTGATTTATGAGTATGTTTCATATGGTGTAAATATTCTAAAATTCGAATATCTTGGTCTAGGCATGGCAACAGAAGCCTATATTTTAAATTTCTTAGTTTAATGATGAGAACTGTAATCTGACCAGAATATATCTAACCTTACTAACTAACAATACAAACATACCCATCGCTAGTCAAAAAAGCGTGTGGGTGTGGGTGTACGACTAGGTTGTAGATTAAGGAAAGACCCACACCCACATCCACACCCACACCCACACCCACACCCACACCCACACCCACACCCACACCCACACCCACACCCACACCCACACCCACACC